TGGCGCTGTGGGTTAATGCACTGGACTGCAAGGGTAGCGGTTCAAGATTACTAGGTGCTGCTTGGAAACTCTATACAGGGTTACTATGAGTCAGAAGTGGCTTCACATCTCTTAACAACAAATAACAATAAAAGCAACTAATAGGAGAAATGAGGGGAAGCAACTAGTTACATCAGCAAAATTGTTTCCTAAATCATAACCTTAATAAGCTAGTTATATCTGCAGTGAACAATATTTACAATGTTCATGCTATTTATTTTCAACTCTTTGAACAAACCAATAAAGCATAAAAGACAAACTACGGTTACAGAATAGAATGCAAGAATTTTAAGACTTGACACTATCAGAAGCAGGGAAATAGAAAATGGAAGGGAAGGGTATACTCCATTCTTACAAAACAGGGATTTGAGATATTGTCTATAGTTAGTACAATAAAATTAAAGATATAAATGCAGTAACTTAAATAATTTCTCCTGATGATCAAATTCCTGCTCCTTACAGAAAAATGGAAAATAATGTAAAAACAAAAAACCCCAAATTTTTAAACACTATAACCCATCATCCAAAGAACTTGGGCTTGAGTCTAAGATCTACAATTTAACATCTGTATGGCTATGAACAAGTCACTTAACCACCTGTACCCTTTTGTTACATTTCCTGGGTAATTTATCTACATATTTTAAGTCTAGGTAGTGTATATGTAACAGCAAGTCTGTGAGAATTGTACTATACATAAAATTTTTTTATCCAGGTTTTTTTTTTCCTCACTTCAAAACATAAAGCAAAACTCTGGATACTTATCAGCTTGAACAGGAAGCAGTCAAAGGTTTCTCAGAGATGGGAAAAAAACAGGTTAGGTATAGTAGGTGGGCAAGTACTACAGGCACCAAGGACGGACTGGCCAAAGGCACAGAGATCAAGTGTGCGCCTCAGCTGTAGTGAAGGGTGAGTAAGAAGTGATGAGGCTAGAGATTTTGAAGAGCTTGGTAAATCATATTAAGAAATCTGGACATTTTCCCCACAGTGACATGAGGACAGGGTTTGGTATAGTTCACTCTGGTACCTCAGAATCTAGCACAGTATCTGCAACAAGACAAGTGCTCATTATATGTTTTTTGAATGAATAGTGATTCACACAAGTCAGAGGTGCCTTCTGAATTTCCAGTTTGGGTGTCCTAAGTGGTAGGGACAATGTTATTTGCTGAGGAGGAGAGCCAGGAGGAGCAAGATTTAAAAGGCCATGTGTCTAGGCAATGTCTTTGGAGATTAGGATACTTTACGCCAGGTAAGACTCTCTGCCCTACAGAATCCATTGAGTAGGGCTCTATGGAGCCTGTACATCCCCGCAAACATGTGGAATGTGCATTTCTCAGGGAGAGGACCCACAATCTTAGGTTAAGGGACTTTTGACCCCAGAAAGGTTAGGCATAGAGGGAGGAGGAAGTAGAGAAGCAAGAAATGTGAGCAAAGCAAGAAAAGGAAGTGATCTAGAGCATAGTGGAGGGCCTAGCTTTTATGGAAGATATTTCTTCAGAATCCCAAGAAATTGATTCAGGGTGTAGTGTTTGAATATATATGTACATATATTTGTGTGGATGTCTCCAGTGCTCCAAAGTACCTGTACATGACTTCACAATCAGCTTCATGTCACTGCTCCACTTGTACACATCTGTCAATCTCACGAGGCTAGCCCTGGTAGCTAATTGTCCATCACCACCCATCAGAATTCTCTGAGATCACTGTCTGATAACTTTTGCAATTTAAGAAAACAAAGTTTCAAATTTTCATTCACTTCTAGCTAGACCAGCCAAAGGGAAAGGGAGGTGTTCCATGAGAACAAGAAAATCTAAGCCACCTCTGATAACCAAGAGTAATCATGTTTTCCCTATTAGAAACTGTAGAGAAAATGGTGTTATATATTTTGAGGGCTAGAAGTGAATTTAAATTGGGAAGGAAAGTTGCAATTGATGGGAAGGAATCTGATCTGTCTAGAAATCCACTAGATTTGTAAAGAATTGGGGTGGGGAGAGGTTCAGGTGCTGAACCTGGGTCATTTATGGAAATCAGATCCAGAGATAAAATGTCAGAATGTAAAAAGTCATTTTGTTCAATGAGAAACATAAAAATGTTATGTAAAACCCGATTTGCTCATATAATGTATTTGGTATATTTGATTACAATACAAATAAAATTTTGGTCTTAGAATTTTGGTCTAGGAGTTAAAGGGCACCTTTATCCTTCAGTCAATGGAGAGTTAGTTTCTTATTGCTGAAAGCACCCTTAACATGAGGGCTTCAAATAGTTCATGGAAAAATGGAATTAAAAGACAATGGAATTTCCACATGAACTTTATGAAACCCCCTCATAGATCCTCAGTTTAGGGTCACGCCTCCAATTTGTTACACATGCAGTGGCCTATTACCTTGGCTGACTATGTAACCACCCATAATTTTCAAAAAAATACTGACGCCTTGAAATGGAAATTTTTTTAAGTGCCTAGGTGAATCTATTTAATTGCCAGTTAAAACACACTGCTGTAAGGAAAAATTTGAGCCAGTGATTCTCAAACCTAGCTTGGCATAAGATACATGTGGATAGCTTGTCTGACCTACCTATTAATGATAATCTTCAGTCAGGCAGGAAACTACAATCACCTATGGCTGAGTATTCAATTATGAGGATAAATATGATAGTGAAACTAGAAGAATTTAGCAGTCTTAATGGTCATAAGGAGTCCTGGTATGGCAATGCAAGCTAATGTGCTGGACTGTAAAGTCAGTTTGAATCGCAAGGTTGGCAGTTCAAGCTCACCAGCAGTCCCTTGGAAACTCTATGAAGGGTTGCTATGAGTCAGAACCAACTCGACAGCACTTAACACAACTATGGTCATAAATTCCAGTTCCTTGCTTTCAGTAAGTATATTCTTGGCACCTTGGTGGGTCAAGATACTTAACTATTCCAAAACTACTCTCCCTCTGTTCTCAGCTTCCTGTCATGAAGAGAGAAAACCAAATTTGTTCCTAATCTTAACAGCCATGTGGTGTTTATGTTGGGTCCTGTCTCAGACATGTTGTTGTTAAGTACCTTCTCAGACATAAGTGGGCAGGAACATTGTCTCCAACTGTTATGGTCAATGAGGGCATAGGCACTTCTGCTCCCCAGTTTTAAATTCTTTTGATTTTCTGTATTTATGCCTGTGATTTAGAGTGAAACTTGGACAATAAGTTGTATATATTTTGATAAATGACAGTTGGAAGGAGAAAAAGAAAAGAAAGATTTTCATATATGCTTTTAGTATGTGAAAGAGCTCTGTAAACTGGACACTACAATGATATTCAGTATTACAAAAGCTAATTGTATGGAACTTCTGCATGAGAATTGCACCAGACTGCCTATTACCAGGTATAGCACTTCCAATGAATATTCCTGCATATTGAGACACTGGAATGGAGGAGAGATCCAGAAACCAGAGACCTAAAGTCCAATCCAAGATTTGCTGTTGTATGGTTGCATTGGCTAAGGCACACCCCCATGATTAGTTACCTGTTTCCTTACCTGAACACGAAGACTGCACATCCCTTTCAAAGTGACTACAGATAAGACCAGCATCGTGACAGAACAGAGAATCTGGATTTAGGACCTTTTCTTGAATATGGATTCTACCACTTGGTGTTTGACCTTCACTTAAATGACCACTCTCGGGTATATGAGGGCACTCAACTCTTCAATGTTAGAAAGGACTGTTGGCAATGATCAACATGAAAGCATGAAGTAAATGCTACGGACCTTTGTTCTATACGTAAAGATATACAACAAAGAGAAAGATTCTATATAAATACAAGGCAATATTATTATATAACAATATGTTGCATAGTTTTATAAATTATTTTCCAGGAGTAAAGGTTTAATGTCAGTCAAGGCTTTCCTCAAATGAGTAAGGGTTTACCTTACCTTAGCCAATTTCTTCTTCTATAAGTTCCATATCCCAACATCTGTGAACTTCTCAAAAACTAATGAAAACATTGTGAGCCCCACCTGACCTACTCCCTATTTGTTCCTCTCAGAACTAGAATAGTGCCACTATTTCCTTTCAAGACCATCATCCAGAAGATGAGACTCACTCCTACACTGTACCCTGATTGGGCCTGAGCAGAATGAGGGGTGAGACAACTTCGGCATGCCACTAGGCAAGCTTTATTCTTTGACTTTTCTCCAGGAAGGGGGCTGTAAGTAGCATCTCACCCAAATGGAATGTGATGGTTATGTGGGGGTTGTTTGGAGAACTGTTGATCTTTGCAAACTAATACAGCTCAGCAGCCTATGTGGTCAGTATGTGGTGACTCCATCAGTCCTCAAGTGGTTGGCCAGCAGACTGAGGAGTGGACAGAAGAGACTTGTCAGAGGTCCCCAGAGCTTTACCACACCAGTTTAGGAGGCACTGAGATGTGGAAAAGGCTGTTACCTACTTCTGTCCATTTTAAGAGCAGTAGACAATTAATAGTTTTTGCTTTAAATTACCTATAGGATGGAAAGTTTATGAATGTTACTAAGTAGGTTGTTGTTGAATTGCTACCCCAAGTGGTCTCCTTCACTAGCTACTGTTTAACTCGAAATACTAGAAAACAAGGTTCAGAGGTCCAGAATTCAATCAGGCAGACCTAAACCAGTAACTGGCCTGTTTGCTTACAAAACTACCAAAAGTTCTTAAAAACAAAATTAAAGCAAAAAGGCCCTCCCCCAAATGAGAATTTTTATCCTCAGAAAGCCGTATTACATTTAAGGGCACAGTTAAAATAAATCCTTGCCTTTCTTAGTTTTCCTTTTGTTTAAATTGGCCTCTGAGATGCTTGTGTTTTGTGCTGCATTCCTGAAACCGTAACTTTTAAAGACATAGAAGGCCTCATTTTTTGCAAAGGAGGACGAAAAGGGCAAAGAGGTGTCTAATTTGACGGGTAGTAGGTAATGATAAGTGCCTGAAGGGCTTTCTCTTCATTTGCGGGTTACTCAACAAGATGGGTTCTGTGATGTCGCATGAGGTGCGAGTTAGAAATGAAAGCTGCACCACACTTTGCACATTCATAGGGCTTCTCCCCAGTGTGGGTTCTCTGGTGCACAGTGAGGCTTGACCTCTGCCGGAAGGCCTTACCACACTCATTACAAGTATAAGGTTTTTCTCCATTATGGATTCTCTGATGAATAAGCAGGTAAGAGCTACATGTGAAGGCCTTCCCACACTCACTGCACACATAAGGAAGGTCTCCACTGTGAATCCTCTGGTGGACAATAAGGCAAGAGAGTTGACTGAAGGCTTTCCCACACTCACTGCAGTCATAAGGTTTCTCTGCAGTGTGAATCCTCTGGTGCACAATTAGATGTGAAAAACAACTGAAGGCTTTCCCACACTCTTTACACTCATATGGCTTCTCACCAGTATGGCTTCGCTGATGCACAATAAGATTAGCACTCTGGGTGAAGGCTTTGCCACAATCATTACAGGCAAAGGGCTTCTCCCCAGTGTGGATTCTCTGGTGGACAATGAGGTTTGAGCTCCGAGTAAATGTTTTCCCACACTCATTACATTCATAGCATTTTTCAGTAATGTGGACTTTCTGGTGCCGAGCAAGTTGTGAGCTATAACTGAAGGCTTTCTCACACTCATTGCACTTAAAGTTTTTTTCTAAGGAGTGAATTTTTTGATGCACAGTCAGATTTGAACTCTGAGTGAAGGCTTTCCCACATTTTGAACAAACATAAGGTTTCTGTCCAGTGTGGATTCTCTGGTGCACAACAAGATTTGCACTCTGAATGAAGGCCTTCCCACACTCATGGCATTCAAAGGGCTTCTCTCCAGTGTGAATTCGCTGATGCACAACAAGGTTTGCACTCTGACTAAAGCCCTTCCCACACACACTACATGTAAAAGGTTTTTGACCAGGTTGGATTTTCTGATTTTTAACAGGGCCAGAACTAAGGCTGTATATTTTCCCAGAATTCTGGTATTTCTTGTCTTCTTCTTTGAGGCTTTCAGATAAATGGCAATCTTTCACTATCACTTGTCTGAAATCTTTCTTCTCCTTCTTGATTCTTTGCCTCTTTAATATGTTCATGTTTTTGCTGGCTTCTCCTAACTCAGGCGTTTCAGAGTCAGCTTTCTGTATTCTTCCTAATATTATGAAAGGTTTTTCTGCTTCATCACCCATCTCAGTTTTCAGAACCAATGATGGTGGACTTTTGATTTCAGCATCTGAAATAAGAAACAGACAATACAAATGTAGTTATTCTTGTCTAGAAAAAAAGTAGGATCAAGACATAAAGTTTAGGAAGTATGTGACTTCAGTGTCTCTGAAAAGTAATTTCATCAAAGGAAAGAATTCCCTTCCTTTCATGTTAACTCTCTTCTGATGATGGGTCCATTCCCTCCCCAAAGCCTAGAGCAGAACTCAGTGATTCATGATCTTCCCAGAACTTCCACTTAACCACTATGAGACAGTGAAGTCACTGCCACAGGCCAGGGAAGCCCACTCTCCAGACAACTCCAATAGAAGATGACTAATATTACAATTAGGACTGCTTATGAAGGGCAAAATGAGCCCTGGTGGGGCATTGCTGAAGTGCTTGGCTGTCAACTGAAAGCTTTGTGGTTCAAACCCACCAGTCGCTCTGTAGGAGAAAGATGCAGCAGTCTGTTTCCCTTAAAGGTGATAGCCTTGGAAATACTACACAGCAGTTCTACTCTGCCCTAGAGGGTTACTACTATGAGTTCAAATTTACTTGATAGCAAAGGATTTGAGGGTCTTTGGGGTTTTGTTTTTTGTTGTTTTGTTTTACAAAAAGACCCAAAGTGTTTTGCTTTTTTATCTAAAACAACCCAAAATCAGGCTATTGTCTACCTGGGTGATAAGAGGGCCACAAAGTCAAAAGCATCTGAAACATTGAGAGGCTGTGCAGCATAGAGGTTAACCAAAAACACCAAATGCACTGCTGTCGGGTCAATTCTGACTTAGGGCAGCCCAGTAGGACTGAGCAGAAGTGTCCTGTAGGGTTTCCAAGGCAGTCATCTTTACAGGAACAGACTGCTACATCTTTCACATGGGGAGTCAAGAAAAACAGATCTTTCTTTAGTTTGACACCTGGCATAGCCGGCTTCATGAGGAAACCAACATAAACTTTCTCTGGCTCGTCTAGATTGCCTCAGAATCTGAAGAGGGTTGTGTCATCAGTGCCACCACAGTTCTTTATGTTCTTCTCCTCTTCATTCTCCCTACTACCTTGAACCCTGGAATGTGCACCCATGCAGCTCAGTCTTGGCAGAGTAAAAGCTTAATATATGCTTTTAAATTAAATCAAATTCAGGAAAATAACTCAGATAAAAATAAGGCAATGAAATGATGACCAGCAGGAGTTGGAGGCAGGCCCTCAGAGGAAAGATGAGTTACCACTGGTGGTGTCAGCTTAGGAGCTGTGAGCTACAGATTATGCTGCAACTGCATTGGGGGAATTCAGCATCTACCAGTGGGACGCATCCTGAAGCCGAACCCAGGCAACTTCTCATCCAGTGGTAAGTGGATGGGACAGAGATGAATGTTGGGGTGGAACAAAACAGTATAGGGTATCAGGAAAACAGCCCAGTATCAAAGCCTGATTAAGATCGTTGTTGTTGTTGTTAAGTGCCGTCGAGTTGGTTCCGACCCATAGCAACCCTGTACAGGGTTTCCAAGGCTGTAAATTTTTACGGGAGCAGAAAGTCTCATCTTTCTCCCGGGGAGTGGCTGGTAGTTTCGAACTGCTGACTTTGGGGTTCGCAGCCCGATTCGTAACCACTATGCTACCAGAGCTCCTTAATTAAGACCATAGGATTATGAAAATATCATTACAGACCATCAGACTAGATGGGCAATGGTGGAGAAAGGAAAATATCTCAGTCTTGAATACACTAGAGCCTAGAATGTGACAGCATCTTTTTCTGGCTATCTCGATTTCTGCTTTCCTAATGTCTCTTTCTTTTCAGATTTTCTCTATTTTTCTCCCTGTCATTTATATTGTTCTTGTAACTTTCTCCCACTACTTATTTTCCTACTTCATGTGTCTTCTCCTCTCCTGGTTTTAAATTAAAAATATTTTTCTTGTGTAAAATATTCTTTTATTTTTTTCCTACATATTTTCTCATCTCTCTTACTTTGCACATTTTATTGTTTTCTTTTGTTTGCTAATATTCCATTGCCTACACTGCATCCTCATTTTCCATGCTACTAATACTTTCCTTGTTTCTCTTTATCTTCTTCTCCTTTTCTTTAGCTCTCCATCACTGACACTGGGACCTCCCATTCTCCACTAAGCATCTCTCCAATAGGAACAGAGCCCATGAATATTTTAGTTCACAGATACACTCCTCCAATCTTCACTTCTATTCTCTTTACTGTAAGATTTACAATATAAGTAGTCCCTGACTTACAACATATTTGAGTTACCACAAACTACACTTATGGCCAGGAACCCTGGTGGTGCAATGGGCTAAGCACTGGGCTACTTAACCAAAAGGCTGCTGGTTTGTACCAACCAGCCATTCCATGGGAGAAAGATAAGACAGTCTGCTTCCGTAAAGATTTTCAGCCTTGAAAACCATATGGGGCACCTCAGAACAAACCCCCCTCTAAGACTGAAACTCAAAGGGAACACATGAACAGGTATGTAAGCTTGTTGGCGATCACATTGGTCTACTGGTGAGTAGAGGGGGGGTGGTGGGAAAGGCAGCAATGAAGAAATGGGCTAAATTCAATAACATTCCATAGACTCCCAGTGACGTGGAGATGAGAGAGAGAAGTGGAAGGATTGGTTGGTCCAAAGTGCGGTGGGACCTGGGGACACCTGAGCCCATGGACAAGGACATAGCCAAAGAGAGATATAACTGAGAGTGAAGCATCCAGCTGATATGAAGTGAGGGGAGATGCACAAGAACACCTAGACTTGCAGATAGTACCCATTTGACCTAGCTTCGATGGCTTGTTAATCAGAGCTCGACTAAAGGAAGATAAGATACAAAAAAACACACAAAAAATGGAAAATTGCTACAATTTGATGAACCTGACCTATACTCATGTAGGTAGTCGCTCTAAACACCTACAGAGCGGGAAGGAGTCTTCACATCAAGTAGCAATGCTATCCCTTCTGTACACAGGGTGGATAGGGACGGGCAACTTAGACATTGGCTACCTAAAATGAGGGGGTGATAAAAGCTCGAAGTGACTGGCCTACAAGATTTCAGGAGGGAATTTAGTTTAAGAGTGTGTGGGGGAAGATAAGAGTCCCCACTGAACAGTTTTCATCTTGTCTAGATGGGTCTGGTAAAAAAATAGATGGGGATAAGGTTTTTATGATCCAATAGTGAGTAACAGTTATAATGACTGACTGCGACTGTCACAGTTGTAAAGGTGGAATTTTTAACCCACAACGGCACAGCAAGACAACAAAAATGGATGTTGGATAATTTCAAATGCCTTTCTTGCATCAATTGATATAATCTTGTGGTTCTTTTCCTTTTTTATTTATATGCTGAATTATGTTGATTGTTTTTCTAATATTGAACCACTTTTGCATCCCTGGAATGAAGCCAACTTGGTCATGATGTATTATTTTTTTGGTACGTTGTTGAATTCTACTGACTAGAATTTTGTTGAGAATTTTTGCATCTATGTACATGAGGGACTGTTGTTGTTAAGTGCCTTCAAATCAGTTCTAACCCATAGCTACCCTGTACAGAGTTTCCAAAGAGAAGCTTAGTGAGCTTGAACCACCGACCTTGCGGATCAAACTGACTTTGCAGTCTAGCACATTAACCTGACCCAAGCCATGGTATTTGTAATAATTTCATATGCATGTGAAAGTTGGACAGTGAATAAGGAAGACCATAGAAGAATTGATGCTTTTGAGTTACGGTGTTGAAGGCGAATATTCAAAGTGCCATGGACTGCCCAAAAAAACCAAACAGATCTGTTTTGGAAGAAGTGCAGCCAGAGTGCTCCTTGGGGACCAGGATGTCCAAACTTATTGTCAGGAGGGACCAGTCACTGGAGAAAGATATCATGTTTGATAAATTCTGGAGGGTCAGAGAAAAAGAGTAAGACCCCCAGTGAGATGGATTGGCACTATGGCAGCATCAATGGGCTTAAGTGTGGCAACATTTGTGAGGTTGGCCGAGGACTGCGTAGTGTTTCATTGTGTTGTGCATAGGGTCGTTATGAGTCAGTACTGACTCAATGGCACCTAACAACAACAACAAACATTAACCCATAATGCCACAGCAGGTCTCCATCAGGGATATTGTTCTATAATTTTCTTTTTCAGTTATGTCTTTGCCTGGTTTTGCTATAAGGGTTATGCTTTCTTCATAATATATATTTAGGAAGTTTTCCATACTTTTCTATATTCTGCAATAGTTTGAATGTTTGGTAGAGTTCACCATTAAAGTTATCTGAACCTAGACATTTTCTTATTGGGAGTTTTCAAAATGACCTGATCAATTTCTTTTGTCACAGGTCTTTCAAGTTTTCTGTTTCACTCTGTTAGTTTTAGTAGGTTATGTTTTTCTAATATGTATTCATTTCCTCTGTATTTTCAAATTTGTTGGAGTACAACTCTTCATAGTAGTCTGTTATTATTCTTTTTATTTCAGTTGGTTCTGTTGTGACATCACTCATATGGCTTCTTATGCATGCTATATCCATCTTCTCTCTATTCTTTTGTTAGATTTGCCAATGGTTTGTTGACTTTATTAATTTTTCAAAGAACCAGATTCTTTCTACTATTTTCCTGTTTTTTAATTAATTTAATTTTTCTCTAATCTTTTATTATTATTATTTTTTTTCTTCTGATGAAGGTAGGCTTATTTTGCTGGTCTTTTTCTAATTGTCGGAGATACTGTGTTAATATATGTTGATTTGGGTTCCCTCTTCTTTTTGGATGTATGCATTTATTGCTAAAAATTGCCCTCAGCAATTTGCTGTGTCCCAAAGGTTTTAGTATGTTGTGTTTTCATTCTCATTTGTTTCTACGAATTTATTTCATTTTTTATTTGTTCTATTACCCAGTAGCTTTTCGTTATTGTTATTAAGTCCTAACAAGTTGGTTCTGACCCATAGCTACACTATATAGAGTTTCCCAGGAGCTGCTGGTGAGCTTGAACAGACTACCTTGTGGATCTAACTGACTTTGCAGTCCAGCGCATTAACCCAAGCACCACACTACAACTCCCAGTAGCTTTTTAACAGGGTGTTATGCAATTTCCATGTATTGGATTTTATTTCCTTGATCTTAATATTGTTGATTTCTAATTTTATAGCACTGTAATCTGAGAAAATGCTTTGTATGTGGACATTTTAAAATTTATTGAGACCTGCTTTGTGACCTAACTCATGGTCTATTCTGGAGAATGTTCCATGTGCATTGGAAAAGAATGTGTATTGTGCTGCTGCTGGGTTGAATTCTCTGTATAAACTTAAAAGGTCAAGCTGATTGATTCTGTTGCTTAGTTTCTCTGTGTCTTTGGTGAGTTTCTTTCTGGTGGTTCGGTCCTTTTTCAAAAGTGGTGTATTAAAACCTCCCACTATCATTGTAGAGTTGTCTATTTCTTTCTTCAATTCTACCAGAATTTAATTTATGTATTTTGTGGTTCTTTCATTGGGCACATAAATATTTATTATGGTTATGTCCTCCTGTTCAGTTGACCCTTAAATTATGAAATAATGTCCTTCTTTGTCTCTTATGCTGGTTTTTACCTTAAAGTTAATTTTATGAGAGATTAATATTGCCTGCTCAGTTTTTTTTACTACAATTTGCTTGATATTTTTTTTTCATCCCTTAATTTTTAATCGATTTTTGTCTTTGTTTGTAAATGATGTCTCTTGTAAGCAGCATATTGAAGGATCCTGTTTTCTTATCCATTCTGCTACTCTTTGTCTCTTGACGGGTGCATTTAATCCATGAAGCTCATTGTATTTATCAATAGTATGATTTGACTGCAATCATTTTTGCTGTGCCTTTTGTGTGTGTGTGTGGTGGTGATGGTGGTGGTGGTTTCTTTGTTCTGCATGCTTTCCTGTGCTGAGCCCTTTTTCTTGTCAATTTCTCAATATTATTTCAAATTCCTCAAGGATTTTCCTTTTCTTTATTTGAGGTGAAGGTGTGTTAAGTTTATTTGAGGTTACCCTGTATTTCATTAATTAATTTCTTTCCCATTTTAAAACAGTCTGCTTTATCTTGAAATCTATCTGACCTCCTCACCACTGGAAACTATACTTTTCCCTTCTTTCACTTTGTAATTGTCCTGATCATAGATTAACATCTTAGATTCCCTATTTTCAGTCTTGTAGTTTTCTTCTACTGTGGACACTTCCATATCTGGACTGAATTCCAGGTGGTGTTGTCTGCTCTTGTTGGCTCTCAGTCTTGTTGGTTCTCAGTCCAAAGAACTTCTTTCAGTACATTTTAGAGTTGTTTGGCTTTTACAAGGTCCTTTAGTTTCTGTTTATCCTGAAACGTTTTTCTCCATTATATTTGATGGATAGCTTTGCTGGATATATGATTCTTGGTGGGCAGGTTTTCTTATTTCAAAGTTTTGTATATGTCTCTTTATTGCCTTTTTGCCAGCATTGTTTCTGCTGAAAAATCAGAGGTTAACCTTAATGGCTTTCCTTTGTAGGTAACATTTTGTTTTCCCTGAACTACTTTCAGGTTTCTTTCCTTATTTTTAGATTTTGAAGAGTTTGATTAAAGTATGTTTTAGTGATTTTTTTTTGGTGCCAATCCTGCCTAGAATTTGTTCATTTTCTTGAATACTTATTTTCCCATCTTTCATTATGTTAGGGAAATTTTCTCCCAGCAGCTCTTCAAACTATTTTTTCTGTAGTTTTCTTTGTCTCTTCCTGTTCTGGAAATCCAGTCACCCATAGGTTATTCCTCTTTATGTTGTACCACATGAATCTTAAGCTTTCTTTGGATTTTTTCATTCTTTTCTCTGCTTGTTCTTCTAACTTACTAGTATTGAGTTACCTTCTAGTTCACTAATTCTGGCTTCCATGGATTCAAATCTACTCCTTTATCCTTTCAGTGCATTGTCCATTCTGATATCTTAGTATTAATCTTCTGAATTTCTATTGGTTTTATATTGTCTCTAATTCTTTATCTTTTTTTTTTTTTTTTAATTGTTGCTGTAATACTTTACCGAATTCTTCCATGTTTTTCTTGACCTCTCTGTCAATAGTTAGGAAGTACCTAAATACTATTCTCCTGAATTCTTTTTCGGGTAGGGTAGTTCCAGTACCTTTTTTCTTAAAAACATTTTCTAGCTCTGACTCTTGGTCATTTGTTTGAGCTACTCTTTTTTTTTTTTTTTTCCCAAATGTTAACAGAGATTGTTTGTTGCTTTCAAGGTATTGTGATATTGCCGTATTTAATTAAGTTGATGAATGTATGTTTGTGTACTCTTAGGCACTCACCAACTGCCTTTTGGTGGGTGTGAACAAAAGATGAGCTTTGCACTGTTTTCTGTCATTCGTGAAGTTTAGTTCTGGGTGAATTTACCTGATCTTAGTTGTTGCCATTGATCAATGTATAGAAGCTGGTATTGACTCTGGCCCAATTGGTGGGGATAAGGAGGGTATGACTGTGGTTGGGCCATATGGCCACAGTTGCTTTTTCCTTTGACTTTGCAAGCTACTGGCAAGCTTTTACAAAGGGAATGTCTTCATGTCACTCAATCCATTCATACCCATTCAAAATGGCTTAGGCAGGTCATGTTGGCCACCCCACCATCAAAAGTCACCTCCTTTCTTGTGGCTGTTCACTCTTTCTCCCAGTAAACATTCAGTCTACCTATCTATCCCTTTATCTGAAGCTCAGAGTTCCAGGACCATCCTCTGAATCTGTTTCATCCAAATTTCAGTATCCTTGCTGCAGAGGGTCTGCACAGCCTTTCTGCCTAGTCTGCCATCAAGCCCTATCTATGTTTTTAAATTAATCTTTTTTCTTTCTTTTTTAAAGAAGAGGTTTAAAATGTTAAATGAACCTGCTCACATAGCTGATGAAAGATTTCTGAGGCATGTAAGAAAACCTGATTTATAAGTCTAATTCATTAGAATTATAAGATCTGTAATTTTTAATCAAGATTTTATTAAAGTCTGCTTAGTTAGTTTGAAATGTTTTAAAGGATTAATATATTAAATTTGAAATTATATTTTGAAATGATGGAGGAAATCTGAAATGTACATTGAGTCAATTGTTGAAAAAAAATTTTTCCTGTAAAACTTGTAATTTAACTATCATGAATTAAAGAACAAGTGTAAGTCTGCTCTTTTTAATGAAAATATTTCTAGATATAAAAATGAAAAAAATATAAAGATTAAAAAACTTGTTTTTTAAATGTAGAGGTTTAAAAAACTAAATATAAACTAAACACAGTATACTGTAAATGAAATTTTCTTAGATATTAAAAACCTAATAACAAGTCAAGGGCTATCCAAAGGACTTTCACGCATATGTGATTTTATCACCAAAATGAAACTGTTCTCTCTCATTCATGTGGGAGCTAATGAACAAGCACAGGCTACATCTTATTCACTGTCATATCCCCAGCACCTATCACACTATCTGGTACATAGTAAGACACTAGAAATCTAATATTTATGGAATGAATGTACCCCAGTTGACAGAACAGAAAATGGAAGTGCAGAGAGAAAAGGAATTTGCTCCAAGTCAAAGTTAGCAGAGACAGGCTAGAATTAGATTTCTTAATTCCCCACCTAATTCCTACAGCTCAGTGTTTCCACCATTACCTGTGGCCATGGATATAGGTAGCAGCACAGAAATGTAAGTCTTGGGTGGGAATAGGGTCTTGAGGTTAAGAGGCAGAGAAGGGAAATAGAGGTCGTTCCTGATGGATGATGGGTGCAGCTGTTGGACAAAGCAAGGAGACAGAAAAGAAGTGACATTCAGGGGAAAGGACAAGAGAGAACGGAACAGAAAATTATAAGTGGTAAGTACAAGCCACTGAGAATTTGTAAGGTAACTAAAGAAGCAACAAGAAAATGAAAGATGGAGAGCCTAACATTCCCCACAGAACTGGTTAAAGAAAGTCATTTGATTCTCAAATGACTAAGGTATTGGCTAGGGAGGAAAGTAAATACAACATATGCAGACACAGCCTTGCACTCATGGAGATTCAGAATGTGTGAGTGCCAAAGGGGCCCTAGCAGTCCATCCAGGTAAACACTTATACAACATAAGGCTCAGGGTTACTGCATTCTTGATCCATGGTTATCTGTTACTCCTCTCAAGGCAAGCTTTTGCCACTACTAGTTAGACTTATAGATCATACTTCCCTTTCCTGAGTTCCAGCTTATAGAGAACCAGACTGATAGATAAGTCATCAATTATCTGCTATAAAGATGTAGTTTTAAACATCATTATGGTTGACACAGTCCCTCAAAATCATCAAAAATGTTCACAAAAGATCTATGAAAACAGAGCATTTCCTGAAAACCACCAGAAAAGCTGATCTGTTCTACCTTAGCTAGCTTCTCTTACAGGTTCACAACAAAGCATATGAAGGGGACATGTGAGTACTTGTGAGTAGATATGAAAGCTACTGAATAATAAATGTGATAAAGAGGTGAATTTGGAGTTCACCAGGAGTCATGGTGTGGCACTGTGGGTTAATGCGCCAGACTGCAAAGCCATTTGAACTGCAAGGTCAGCGGTTCAGGCTTATCAGCTGCTCCTCAAAAACCCTATATAGCGTTGCTATGGGTCGGAACCGACTCAACAGCACTTCACAACAAGTGTTTGTCTGGTTTTTCTGACTATGTGCAAAAGAAGACATTTCCCTTGACAAATGCACAGGTTGTCTCTCAGCATTATAGTATTCAGCTCTCTTTGATACTGCCAACTCAAGACTTGCTATTATTGCTCAAACCAGACTAAGCCCCCACAGCCTCTAAGCTAAATGATCAGATTCTAAATAAGATTTGAACTTACCTAGAAAAGTCATGTCTCCATGAGATTCCAATATCTCCCTCTTGGCCTGAGCAGGCACCCCATGGGTCTTAGGTAATGAGCAATTGCCAAGGGGTAAACCAGCAGGCACCTCCTTTGTTGCTTCCAGGATCACTGCCATGTCCCAGAACATGCCCTGACCCTAGAGACAAGCAATACAAGTGGATTTATGAGGGGATTAGACAAGAACACACGTACCTATTACTAGAGGCCACAAAACATAAAAGGAAAAGAAGTCAGTCCCTTCTAATTCCCAAGGTGAGTTGGGCAGAGAAATAAGCCTGCCACTTTCTTCCCTATCACTTTGATTTCACCTCATTGTTTACTACAACATCCAGGTTTAACTTGCTATTAAGTACATGACAAGAAATACTCTGTGGAGATTTTTCAGAGAACACCCTTTTCTGTAATCTAAAGAATAAGATAATGGAAACAACAAATACTGTTGAATGATGATGCACGGAGGAGACTGTAATCATCACAATGAAACGATGGTGTAAAGCCGATGTTCTCCCATGTAAACTATCACTTAGTTCACAATAAAAACTTAAAAAAAAACCCAAAAAATCCACAGGCAAAAAAAAAGGCTCTAGTCCTATAATGACAGAGGCACTGGGAACCTCTGCAGCCATTTGACTAGTGATGTTAACAGGTGTGGTTTTGGTTCATTCTAGTTCAACTTCCTGAAAAGAATTTACATTCCAGATCAGACAGAGAAGTGAGGCTAGGGAGTTGGATGGTGGCAGCTTGAAAACATTTTTGAGAAAATGTACTTAAAAGAAAATGGAATTTTTCTATAAACTTTTTGATACGAATCAGCCTGCTAACCTCAGGGTCAGCAGTTCGAAACTACCAGCTCTTCTATGGGAGAAAGATGTGGCTTTCTGCTCCCGTAAACATTTACAGCCTTGGAAACCCTGTACAGGGTCACTATGAGTCAGAACTGACTCCACGGCACAAAACAACAACATATTCTGAAACAGAATCTACATTGAATAAAATCCTGTAAGAATCTATAAGGATCACCTGGGAATCTTGTTCAACTCTAGATTTTGATATAGAATATTTGAGTGGAAATGCTTCTTAGCAAGGAGGTGAAACTGTAATGAACCCGTTTGAAGTCCTGGTTTGAAAATACTATAGCAGAGTTTACAACCTTGCTACTCAAAATGTTTTCCACAGATCAATAGTCTCAGCATCACTGGGAATTTGTGAAAACTGCAGAATCTCAGACCATACCTCCTGAATAAAAATCTCCATTTTAATATGATCCCCAGGTAGAGGGGGTGATTAGGACTGTCTGCAGGAATAGCTGATTCATATGTATGCTAAAGTTTAAGAAGCAATGGTTAGTTGTCAAACTCTGACTGGGATCACCAGAACAGGTTTAAAAAAATAGTTAGCTGGGTCCCAGATTCTGATTAAATTAGAATGCTGTACGGCACAAGATACAAATGTGAAAAACCAGTTGCCTGTGAGTGGATCACAGAGTAGAACTGAATCACAATGCATCGACAGGACAGATAACCTCTGTTCACCTTTTCATGGCTATGACTTTGTGGAAACAGATCAATAGGCTTTTCTTCTAAGGCATCTCTGGGTGGATCTGAACCACAAATCTTTCAGTGAGTAGATGAGTGTTTAACCAATTGCAACCGAGCACAGGCATTAGGATTTCATAAAAAGCTCTGCTGGTATTTCTATTGTACAGCAAAGTTAGAGAACCACAGAATATAAAAGATACTGAATGTCACATATATTTCCAAGGACTGAAGTTCATTGTCCTAGTCAGGAAACAAGATTCCAGAGAGGATGCAGAGTCTCCTATGAAAGCAATCAAGGTCATCTTCAGGTGTCTTTCTTCCCTCCTTCCTCCCAAGCCATCATTTACCTTTTCCTCCTGTTCTGATACATTAAGGCCTGTCTGAGGATCCTCCCCAGGGGCCCAGATGTTGATGTTGTCAGAGCGTAGTTGTTGGCTGGATGTCTGACCCAGATTTTCCTCCTCATCCTCCTCCTTTTTCACTGTCACTGAGCCCCAAGGGGTCAGGGCCAAAGTCTCTTTCAGTTCTGCAGTCATTTTCTCTGCTCAGCTGGGAATTTCTATAGCTGGGGGCTGCCCAGCAGAGGTCAAGCCCCATCTAATCTTTATGTTTCAAAAGTGCTTCTCGAGTTTTCCAGAGTCAGGATGAGTACTATCTACTGTAAAATAAAAAACATTATTAGCAGCAAGCAGAGGTCTGCCTCGATGCCAGTTAGCCCACAGGTCAATTTTGTCAATGTCCAGGCAGTCCAGCCTTGGAATGCTCCTCCCCTCCTTCATGGATGAAAGGGACTGGGTTGTAAACATGACATGTGTCACCACAATAATCACACTACAAATAGCTTTGTTGTGTGCTATTGCGTCAGTTCTGACTCACAGAGACCCTATACAGGCTTTCTGAGAGTGGCTGGTGGATTTGAACAGCAGGACTTTGCAATTACAACTCTGGTGCCATACACTTTTTTTTTTTCTGGTCATAAAATTAAAATTTATATTGTAAAACCTTGGGGAAAAAAGATAAAGTAAAATCACCTCAAGTCCTCCTCCAGCGAGTTAACCAATGTACATCATAGAATTTGAGATATTAGGGAAGAAGTTCATGGAAAAATTCCAATATCTTTTAACTCAATTTTTTAATGAACTTTTTGAAGCCTCCTCATGTGTATATGCATACACATATTTTTTTTAAGAGGAAAACTCCAAAGATACTACCAATGATGATTCGATCAACCTTGTTCTTTGACACGGGAGATATGTACTTGCACAATTTTTCTCAATTTTTAAAAAAAGACATGTTACAACATAAAGATTTTGTATTGCCAGGAGACACAACAGCATGGACATACTATCTAAAGAAAAAGACTGGGAGTCTGTACACCAACTTGTTAGAAGTAGTTATCTCTGGGTGGTCTAATTATAGGTAGTAGGATTCTACGCCCTACTAAGAATTTGCTTTTCAACTCAGACATGCTGAATCAGAATCTACCTAGGGATCTTGTAGACTCTGACTCAGTATTATATGGAATGCAAGTGTAAATTCTCAGCAAGGGATCAATTATAAACCACTTAGAAGCCCTGGTGTTTTGGTGATGGTGTTTTATTAATTAAAAATGTATTTTTATGCTTTAATATCTCAGTTCTTGAAGTACTATTAGAAAGTCACCAGGAAAAAGTTTCAGAGCTTTGATAGCGTGAAGATCAGATTGTAGTCAAAGCAACAAAAGTTAGTTCTGTAGAGACTTAGACCTTTCTCATTCTTGTCAAATACTAAGTGATGAGTTTAATGCAGGAGGCAGTTGTTAGTTGCTGTGGAGTAGATTCTGACTCATAGTAACAAAGTGTATGCAGAGTAGAACTACTTCATTGTCGAAGCGCTAGTTTTGAGGTTCTTTCTGTTTTCTTATCTTCCAAATGTCCAGTGAAACCTCTCAATATAAGAAAATGAATTTTTCATGTTGCCATTCTTCATGATTACTTTTTAACGGCTTCACAATAATCTATGGTATTGATAAATTTTGGCCCACACTGGAAAAGGATTAAGTGTTACAGAAGTACATAAAATTAAACATACATTCCCCACAACATACACATACATTATCAGTCTCGGTGGAATTCCGAGTCCCTTTTCTCTCCATATACTTAATGTATACCTTCACACATACAGCTTTTTAAAAATATACTTTAGATCACATTTACATATTCTTTAGCAACCTTCCATGGTTGTTTTTGAACTCCATTCTCATATTCCAAAATGGTATCAGAGACTTTCAATGCAATACCTCTTTCTAGGATTGTTAAGTGCCCTCAAGTAGGTTCTGACTCATAGTAAGTCTGTATAGGGTTTCCGAGGAGTGGATGGAGGTTTGAATAGCTGACCTTGTGGTTAGCAATCCAGTGCTTATCCTATAGTGCCACTTTCTAGAAAACTACTCTAAATTATGGCTCTACAGTAATTTACTCAGCCATTCCACATTTATGCACAGTTCTCATAGCAAGTTTTTGTTTCCAGTTTAGTTTTGCAGTAATTTGTAGTTTTTAATTCTGTACAGAGTTTTTCCTTCTGCCAGATTATTCCTTAAGAATAAATGAAGAGAGAACAAACAAGATGGAGCATCAGGTGGAAGTACAGTAAGGAGCTCCGTCAGCAACACGGAATACAGGAACAAGCAGGCTCAGGGGATGGTCCCAGAACTCTGAACCACATATAAAGGAATATTTAGAAGGTTGGAAGGCTTACAGCTAGGGAAATTTGTAGCAAAAGCAAGAAATCCATTGCTTTCTAATTCAAGACGCTCAGCTGCTCCAGGAGCTGCCATCTTGTGTGAAACCAAGCGGGGGAAGGATCAGAGCAGCCATGGACACCAAGACAGAACCGCAGAGATAAAGGTGTGGACATTCTTTTCTTTGGTATCTGATCATTGGTCCCTTGCTGTCTGTGCACCTCCATTCTGGTGACTAGAGGGGTGCCTTAGCTAGTGGACACCCCAGCCCCACCCTCAGAGGGTTCTACTACGCATGTGCACAGATCTCCTTGAACGTTAAAGAGACAGTTTCTACTTAAAACCAAAGAGGGCCACAGCCAGCCCTGACCCGTTGATAACTAGATAAAAGGCCTGACTGGGTACTGTGGAGCGGAAAAGGCAGACAAAAAAGGAAACCAACCGAAAATTAAATTCTAAGTTACGTCACAATGAACAACAGTGGCATCTTGAAATTTCTCAAAAAGAAGAGTCAAAAGGAAAGCCCATTTCCTGATCACATCTACCTGGAGGCATTCAGAAAGAATAAAAAAATACCAAAATACACACCCATCTAAGTATTAAGGCCACAGATAACCCCTGAATATGCCCAAAAAACAGAAGGAGATGCCCATATCTGCACATGTCCAGAAACGACATAAAGTGACTGAGGCAAATGAGCTGGAAGTAGACCTACACTCCATGCTGGAAGATGGGCAGGCTTTGGAAATGCCTGAGAACAAATTCAGAAAAATGATTATAAAATGTATCAAAACACTATATAATGGACTTGAGACAAATAAGGAAGAAGTCAGGAAAGCGCTACAGGAACAATCAAATAAGACAGGTACAGCATTGAAAACAATTCAAAACCTACAGAAAGAGGTCCAAACGATTAATAATAGATTTTCAGATATGGATAATACACTGAAAAGGCAAAGGAGAAGAATTGAACAGATGGAAGCCAGAACTAGTGAGCTACAAGATAAATCTCTAACACTACTAAGATAAAAGAGCAAACGCAAAAAAGGACAAAAAAATCTGAAGAAGGCCTAAGATTCATGTTGGACATGAAGAGGAATAACTTAAGAATTATTGGCATTCCGGAACAGGAACAATCACACAAGTCCACAGAGGAGATATAGTTGAAGAGCTTCTGGAAGAAAATTTTCCTAACATCATGAAAAGTGAAAAGATAAGCATCAACAAACTCCAGGAAGGATAGACCCTAAAAGAAACTTACTAAGACATATAATAATCAAGCTCTCCAAAATCAAAGATAAGGACAGGATCTTGAAAGCATCTAGGAAAAAGAGAAATGTAACATACAAAGGCAAGCGAATCAGATTAAGCTCAGATTTCTCAACAGAAACCATGCAGGCAAGAAGGCAATGGGGAGAGATATATAAAACCCTGAAAGAAAAAAAACCTGCCACACAAGAATCCTCTACCAACAAAGCTGTCAATCAAATATGATGGTGTAATCAAAACATTCCAGGATAAACAGAAGCTAAGGGATTTTGCCAAAGCCAACCCTGCTATGAAAAACATCCTAAAGGAAGTTCTGTGGACTGAGAACCAACAAGAACACACAACAACTACAGAATGATGAACATGGCAGCATAACCCTGAACTCAATCGACAAATGGAAGAATCAAAAACAGAATAAAATGATAAGAACAGAGGATCTGGAAGGTCAGTCTATGATCAAAACAATTACAATGTGAAACAAGGTAAATACAGAGGAACAGAGACCCAGGTGGTGGGAAGCTCAAGTAGATTACTGGATAAAATAGACTGTCGTAAATGGAGGGTAAAACTAATGAAATATAAGGTAACCACAATGGGGTTGGGGTGGGGGGGTTAGTTTGGGTGTTGGGGAGGGCAACACAAGAAGGGGGGAGGAGGCGGAAGAACAAGATAGGGGAACATTGAGACAGGTTTGCATGGCCTAATGGGACAGAGGTAAACAGTGATGCATACTCGACCTTGGAACAACAGGGTCTAGGTATAGCTTGAAGAGGATAAATAATACTAAAATCTTGACTGCTTTATGAATATTAGTTTCCCTTGCCTACTATTGTAAAATAGACACTTGAGTGGGATATAAAGGAATGTTGGGAAACATGATTAGAGAAAACTTGTAAGCCCGTCTTTATCCTATACTGATTGGAATACCTAAAAGGGGTTCTATAACTTACCCAGTGAAATACGCTTCGCACAAAACCTTTACAGAATATAAGACCTTAAGTGGAATCCTGAGTCCCATCCAGAACCTTATGAGGTGGGACATTCCCAATAGAAAGGACAAGCCGACTGAAACAGCTACAGTGACAGAAGATACATCTTCAAAGAAAGATCATCAGGAAAAGCCCAAAGCAAAAATGTCAGCATGATTGATTACTACAAGAATAAGCAAGCTGTTTGCTAGGAAGACATCAAAGCAAGCAATCAAGTGCCTTCAGGACAAACTCCCCTATAAGACTGAAACTCAAAGGGAATACACAAACAAGCATGTAAGCTTGCTGACAACCACATTGGTCTACTGATGAGTGGAAGAGGCAGAAAGGCATCAATGAAGAAATGGGCTGAGTTCAACCCCAGTCCATTGAGTCCCGTTGACCTGGAGATAAGAGAGAGAAGAGGAAGGGCTGGTTGGTCCAAAGTGTGGTGAGACCTGAGGACACTTGAGCCCATGGACAAGGACTTAGCCACAGAGGGCTAGAGCTGAGAGTGAAGCATTCAGCTGATATGGAGTGAGGGGAGATGCACAAGAACACCCAAACTTGCAGACAGTAC